TTATTGATTTCAATTCTAATAATATAAACAGTCAGTATTTTCTTTTTCCGAAAAAAATGTTTATCTTTGACTGTCAAATTGCTCGTTTTTACTCAATACTAAGAAAAACGCATTAAAATATTTTAAAATTCTATCTAAAAATCCATAAAAATAGGAGTTTTCTATTTAAACCAGGGGATAGTCCGATTTGGAACCAATAGTTCTAAATCGGACCGGAAAAAGCGTTTTTACATTTTCCATTATAGTTTAACAGAAGTGAGAGATACGTCAAAATAATCTCAAGCAAAAATGAAGGGAATTAAATGATCTTTCCAAATAGCACCTTCGATTTTACGATAGGATTTTATTTACGTCTTGTAGAGAACAAAAACTGTAAATAGGTCCGATTTAGATCACTCTCCCCTATTGAAAGAATCTAATTTTATGCCGATTGAATTTTTGCTTTAACGTAAATTGATATATATACATCTTCAATATATTTCTAAAAAAATATTAATATTATAAAATAGTATAATACTAAATAGTGATCTAATTATACGCTAATTAATTTTTTTACGTTTAATAATAATAATTTGCAATAATAAGCAATTAACTACTAACGTATATAATAGTTTTATATATCATTTTATTTATCAGTATTTTAATATTAATCACATTTTCATTCAAGAATGATTTTGGTGCACCATTGGTCGTCAATGGAGTTCAAATTGGAATCGCTTCCTTCGGCAATTCTTGTAATGCTGGAGAGCCAGATGTTTACACAAGAGTGGGCAGTTTCCTGTCTTGGATCAATGAAAATTTGAAGACAAAAGATACTTAATTCGTTTATTAAATACCATTTGATGTTACGAAATTTATAATTTAAAATAACAGTAATTAGTATATTTTAATAAGTATAGTTTAAACAAATTTTTTCTGAGAAATGTAAGTATGCTCTTTTCTTCAATTAAATAAATTATCAATATAAATAACAAAATAATAACAATCAACAAAGTTATTTTTACTTTTTTCTGTATAGAAACTAATGTTTTTGTTTTAAGATTCTAAGTTATCGCAGTTATCCACAATGAATAATATCATTTTATTTATATTAAATATACAAAATTGATAAATCTGCATAATATTATTATAGGTAAATGAGTTTGACGAATTTAGCAAAGAAAAATTTTTTGAAAGATAAATAAATAAAAATAAAAAGAAATTCAGTAAAGAAAAGCATAGAAATACATGATTATGTTATAAATTTCAATAATTAAAATGGACATGACGCATAAAGTTAAATATTTGCAGGTAATTAGGTCACAGTAGTTATCTTATACAAATAATATTTCCAATTACATATTTCTTATTTTAAAAAAATTGAAAAGAATAAGGGCAATAGAACATTTATATTCTTGATGTAGGGGAGCTCACCACGACAAGATAACTTTTATTCACAGTTTATATATGTTAGTTTGTGTTGTCTCTGAAGAAGGCTCAAAAGTAACCGAAATGTAAGCGCGTTTTAGTAGAATAAAGAAGTTTTACGCTTTATGGGTGTATTATTTGCGCGATGTCTTCTGCGCTTGACTCCTATTGCCCTTATTCTTTCCAAATTTCTTTTGATTATAAGGAGTCTTTGTTAGTTTGATTTGTTATACGGATTTCTTATTTAAAATATTAATAAACTCATTTCTAATCTGGTAAATAAAGATGTTATCTTTAAATGGATAATGGAACTTTCACAAAAGTTCACACCACATTTAAATGTGGTTGGCATAGTAGTCAAAATGTTAAATTATCCCAGATAGCAAGGCAACATTTTAACCCATTAAGGACCAAGACAAATTTTTTTTCTCAAAATTTAAAATCCTTTTAATGGCAAGCTATTGTTACATCCAGACTCCACAGTTCTTTTCTTCGATTAGAATTTTCGTCATCACCATAAAGATTATTATCAGTAGACCATCTGTTTCTACCAAGGGAGTTACGATGGTGACGAGTCAATTAACACTCGCCTTTTGGACTAGTAATCCACTCGGGACGGAGTCGTCGAATTAAATATTCAAACCAAGTGTCGAATAGAAGAACTTTATCCCGAGGAACAGAAGAAGTAAATAGATTAAGGATTATAAACCGAAACGGCGG